GGGAGAGGGAGAAGCAGGCTTCCCGCGGAGCAGGGAGCCCGATGCGGGGCTCGATCCCAGCACTCTGGGACCATGACCTGAGCCGAAGGCAGACGCTTAACTGACTGAGCCACCCAGGCGCCCCTATATGTTAGCATATTAAGGACTCTGAAAAGTCCTGTTTACCTTTGGTTAACTAAGCATTTCCTAAGTGTATTTGACAACCTCATTCTTTTATTAATTAACACCCATTAATTCTCTTTGGGAAATGCAAGCCAAGAAGACAGACATTCCTTGGAGAAAACATGTAATCAAATTCTCTGTCTTCTCTGTGGGTTATTCACAGCTGGGGCTCAGTAAGTGTTTGCTGAATGACTTGGTACCAGACAGAGGTGGTGTGATGCGGCAACAGATGCTACAGTGTCCAACATGGCTATTCTTAGTATGGTCATACATAAGGTGAGCTCTCTTAGTAAGGAGTACTCAATATTTTGCATCAAAATACAAACTTTCTATTTTACAATTGTGAATGGAAATTCCTAAGAGTATGATCCTACCCAAATTCAAATATCAAAATTTAAGTCCCTGAGAAGGCCAACAAAACCCAGTAAAAGTAATACTGTAGTTCCAACAACCAGTGAAAAGTATATAAACATATATGCACATGCACACACATGGAAGCAGCATCACTGCCCGCCCAACCGCATCCCCATGTCTACTGTGCAAAATGTCACATACTGATGACTTAGGTCATCACCAGATCAAAGTTATGTTCAGAGAAGCAAAAGGAGAAACCTGTCAATTTGTTCCACTGTCCATATTAAACTAAGAGGAGCTGCATACTTTTGGTTCCTATTCACTTAGTTTTATGATCCAGCCATATAATTTCATGGACATAAAGTAGACAGTGAAGCAGGTAAAGCCAGGAAGCTTTAGAATTGTAAAATTGAAGACAATCTACATTTATTTAGCTAAAGAACTTCTAGTTTCAAAAACTATGAGATGTGAAATTTTATATCTTGATACGTACGATTAACTGCCTACAGAACTCTGATTTTGTTTGGGACAACAATGTATGCACAACTGGAAGGGATAAGTCATAATTGACATATGACAATCATGGATGTCCTGATCCCTTCTGCAAGGTAAGTAACTTCCCAGACTTCTTTGTAGCCATAGATAGGTATGTATGTGGCCACTGAGACAAGAGGAATGTAAATCTGCTGAGAGAATTCTACAAAAGACTGTGCTTTCAACATAAAAAAAAGAGCCATACAGGAAGACATTTTGTCCCCGCCTCACAGTTTTTGCCAAGTACACTGGCATGAGGAAAATAAGGCCCGGGGCTGCAATCATCCCTCTTTAACCATGAGGTGGCAAGCAAAAACCTAAGATAAGCAAAAGCATAAGAAACCAACATGTTAAGGACAGTAAAGCCCTGGATTCCTGGTAACACCACTGAGTCAAGTGAACAAAGCCTGGACCTACCCTCCTGCATTCTTGTTAACAATAAATATCCTTACGATTTAAGCTCCTGTTGGTTGGGTATGCTGTCACTGCAGCCAACTGTTTCCTAAACTAGCACAGGAGTGTCCTGTATTTTCATACTGTGATGAAAATTATAAATTCACTTACTAACATTTCAGAATTTAAAACTTTAGAAAAGCAAAAGAGGAAGTAAGAGATTTTTAATTTTTCACTGCATATAATGCTATATTTAAATACTTTTACAAACATGAAATGTTTTATAACATTAAACAGAATTTTTTTTTAAACTTAAAAAGACAAATAATAGGAAAAATCGATCCATACCCGTACCTTTCCGTGTGTTCTCCGTTACATCTACCCCAAACTGGATAATGTCACCAGAAAGAATTTCACATGGTGGACTTTCTTCAGAGCCTCGACTCAATCTCTGGCTATTTATAAAGGTACCGTTACTACTTTTAGTGTCTTGGAGATAAAACTGCAAAAAAAAGAAAAAAAGAAAGAACAAAGATTAATACTAATAATTCCAAACCTACTTTAAGAAAAAGGACTTCCACCTTTGCAAACTACTACAGGTGGATTTTTTTTCCCCTATCAATTCAAACTACTTGTTTCAGCTAAGGCTCTCCTTTAATATATAGGAAATTAGAACCTGGACACCAAGTGATTTAAAATCCAGCTAGGCAAAATAGTGCAATCACTTTGGAAAACAGTTTATAAAGTCCTCAAAATGTTAAACAAAAAGTTAGCATATGACCCAGCAATTCTACTCTGAGGTATATACACAAGAGAACTGAAAACATATGACCTCAGAAAACTTGTACATGAACTTCATAGCAGCATTATTCATAATAGCCCAAAAGTGAAAACAACCTGAATGTCCATCAACTGATGAATAGGATAACAAAATGCAGTGTATTCATATTATATTATATTATTTGGCAATATAAAGTAATGAAGTACTGATTTGTGCTACAACATGGATGAACTTTTAAAATATTACACTAAAAAGTTAGTCGCAAGACCAATACTATATAATTTCATTCATATGAAATGTCCAGAATAAGCAAATCCATGGAGACAAAAAGCACATCTGTGGGTTGCAAGGGGTTGAGATACCAGGGGAAAAGGGTAAAGGGGTAGGAGAGTCGTGGTGGAGAATGATGGTGGAGAATGATTGCTAATGCGTACAGGTTTCTTTTGGGGGTGATTAAAATGTTCTAAAAATTAAACAATAGTGATGGTTACATAACTTTGTGAATACACTAAAAACCGATGAATTGTACACTTTAAAAGAATGAATTTTTTAAAAGATTTTTATTTATTTATTTGACAGAGAGAGAGAGAGAGCACATGGGTGTACAAACAGGGGGAGGGGCAGAGGGAGAAGCAGACTCCCTGCTTTGCAAGGAGCCCAATGCGGGGCTCAATCCCAGGACCCTAGGATCATGACCTGAGCAAAACGCAGACGTTTAACCAGCCAAGCCACCCAGGCGCCCCAAGGGTGAATTTTATAGTATGTGAATTATATCTCAATAAAGCTGTTATTTTAAAAAAAAAAAAAAAAGCCAGCTAGGGGTGCCTGGGTGGCTCAGTCGTTAAGCATCTGCCTTCGGCTCAGGTCATGATCCCAGGGTCCTGAGATCGAGCCCCGCATTGGGCTCCCTGCTCATTGGGAAGCCTGCTTCTCCCTCTCCCATTCCCCCTGCTTGTGTTCCCTCTCTCACTGTGTCTCTCTCTGTCAGATAAACAAATAAAATCTTAAAAAAAAAAAAAAGCGAGCTAGACAAAATTCTAATTCTATCTTTCCATCTCATTCTTTGTAATCTTGCTCCTAGGATATCTGAGTTATATCAAAGGAAGTGTTTATTGCACAGGCGAGCGCAATTGGTTTTAGGTAACACCTATAATTAACAGCTATCAGCTAACTAACATACTTGGTATCAGGAATGACATATCTTCAGTAACTTCTTTGTAATAAAGCAGACTGGAGACACTAGGAACTAAAATACTGGAATCAGCTATGAAGCTACTATTTTCTGGCCTCCTAAACTTGCCTTTCATCACTTGGGTAACTTCCATCTTTAAAAAGCGGAGGGGTAGCAAGAAGCACAGAAAGCCTACCTATTCTAAAAGAAATTAGGAACAATTGGGATCATGCACAACAGACTTACTAGGAAGAGAACAACCAATAAAAAAAAGATGTACCTTTCTTTTTGCATTTTTCTACACTCTCCAGCCCTGCTTATTCTAGCAACATATTTTCACTGAATTCCTTCCTAAGGAAGAAAGGAAAGAAGAAAACTAATATTTATTAAAATATATGTTACACCACCAGGTCCTCATTCAATCTTAACATTAAAGATATGATGCAGATATTATTTCCATATGTAAATGAGAAAAATGAGGCACAGGCAAGTATCTTCCAAAGGTCAAAGAGCTAGGAGCAAGGATTCATATAATACAACTGAAAGGGCCATTTTTTCCCCATTACTTCACACTGACCTTTATGTTTCATTTATCCTTCACTCCTCCCACAAGCTCTTTTCCAAAATGAAACACAGCAAAAGAATATACAACTTGAAGAAAATATGAAAGCGGAATTTCTTTTTACTAATTCCTAGGTGACAATTTAAAGGCCACAAGGCTGTCTATAAATGACTTATTCTCTGTTTGTAATTCGAAACCAACTGTTACTTTGGCTAGCAATTTGTATACTTAATTACAGACCGTTAATGATGAAAATTGTGTTGATACTTTAAAAGTCCATTTGAAATTCATAGGCCTTACCATTTCACACCAGGGAGAGAAGCACAGGTAATACACTCAAGTAGGAACACTTACCCTCACAATTTTTTTCTACCCTGGAACCTACTGTTACACTGTATAGAGGAATTTGGTTTTTATTTCTTAATGAACATATTCATAGGAAATGTGGCAATATCTGGATTCTGGCTTGGTCATTTGTAGTACTGTGTGCCTTGACAAGCCAAATAAAGGAATTATACTAGATTTACGGTGTTTTTCAAATTTCAAGTTCTGATTCATCAGTGTGTTATGAAGTCATTTAGTAGTCTGTGGCTAGCATTTTGATTTAAACTGTAAAAAGAACAGAATAGAAATAAGGAATATAAGAAATGAGTTTCAGTACTGTTAGCAAACTTTGGAAAACAAAAAGGTGTGTGTGTGTGTTTCAACACCTCTTACGTACCTCTTACATAACTCTACAACCACAAATTTTCAAATTAAAAAAATTTAAAGTCAACATGAACCCAGATTCTTTTCATTCTGACACATGTGTATCACTGCCCAAAGCACAGCCTCCATTTAGCATGAACCTATCATTTATGGTAGCTGTTCACCCTTTCTCTGCTCTCAACTTGCTAATGGCTTCCAAACACCTTAGAATAAAACCTAAAGTTCTTACCATTATAGCCTATAAGGCCCTACATGATCTTGCTCTTGGTTCCCCCTCCAAACTCATTAACTTCCACTACCTTCTAAACTCATCCCTCTCAGCCACACTAACGCCCACTCATGCGCCTGAGCCTCTGCACTTGTGTATAGCTAGACCACATTAGTCTACTTCCCTGCAAAACTGTTTTTATTGATATGTTTTAACCTTCTGAAGATTGATATTAAAAGTGATGTTTGTGCATCTTCTATGAAACAATCTGCTATTATTCGGTCTAAATTGTACAGAAGCTATTCTATGTACGGGTTAGGTTCCTGAAGGTATAAAGAAGTCAATTTGTTTGCAAGGGACTGTGCTTACTGTGCTTATGCATTTCCCATAAGTAGATACGTTAGCTGGTCCTTTGTCACTTTTAAACCAGAAATATTTTTCTTCTCTATGATGATAAATCTTCCATCAGGCTTCTTCTTCTTTTTTTTTTCCCTTAAAAGAGATCAGTTTTGGCTACTCTAAAATTGTTTTTCAAATCCCGTTGAAGCTTTAACTATCTTTATTTCCTAGTAGTGTAAGGAATGCCCAAGTAGCTCTAGTGTTTGCACTGGCCACCAGGCATTCATTCACTTTGAGCAGGTGTTTAAGTAGCCCTGAACTTATAAAACCCTCTGTAGCCTGTGGCCAAAGTTCAATTTACACTGTTTTCAGACTCAGTCTCTGACTAACCCCTTGTTTTTCCCTAAATAAATGTTAAGCTCCCAGAAATCTGACATTGACAGTTGTCCTTGAACTAAAAGGTTCTCCCTGCCCCCAACACTTTTCCCCATCTCTTGTTGATTCTGATTACTTTCTTTTTTTTTTTTTT